AAAAAAAAAAAAAAAAAAAAAAAAAAAAAAAAAAAAAAAAAAAAAAAAAAAAAAAAAAAAAAAAGAGAGAGAGATAAATATAGAGCGATTTGGGAAAAATCTTAACGCCGTTCAGGTCGTGTTGACGGAGTCTAATTTGACGGCGTCATTCACGTGCGAAGGCACGTGCGTTGGATTATAAATGGATAATTTGTCTCATATTTAATAATAATAATAATAATAATATGACTGTTTTAGTTTTTTTTTTTCTCGAACTTTTGTGAAGAGATATTTTTCACGAAATTAATGTAACGCTCGGAAATGAATCGTGTTAGAGAGTAGAGATAGGGACATGAGAAGCTTTCCTTGTCGCCATTTTTCTCTGTCCCCACCGCATATTTCAATTTTCATTCCTAAATTTTTAATTTATTTTTTGTAGGTCCCATATAAAATTGGTAGAGTCGTAGAGATTTTTTTTCTTTTTTATATATTATTTTAAAAAATATTTATTTCAAAGAATTTTTAAATGAATAATAACTTATATTTTCTAATATAGTTTATATGAATCCAAAAAAAAAAATTATAAACAAAAATGTAATATATCTAATAAATTTTAATATTAAAAGAAAGCACTTTTTTGTCTTTACAAAAAAAAAGTTGAGAATCAAATAATTAATAAATAATAATTCTCATTGGGAAAAAGGAAGAAAAATCAAGTTACTATAATGCCCTTATATAATGGTCTGCCCGTCCCCTAAATAAAAATCAATGTAGGGGTAAATATGTCATCTAGAAATGTGGGAGTGCAAGTGAGAGCTGGCAGACAGATTCGGATTAATGGATATGTGGGACCCACAGTCCCCAATTAAGAGACTGACAGGTGGACCTCTTCAACACGTTTCCTTTGGGAGAAATCAGATGCGGACGTCATGTGATTTCATAACGTGGGACCTCACCGCTGATTGGTCCACATAAGCACCAATCAACAATCATTAACCCAAGTGACCAATAAGAGAGTTTGGATTTGTCTCTTTTTGTTTGGATGGACTCAAGTACTCTAGAGTAGATCTTAGGTAATTATTATATTATAATTATGGGAAGTCGAGATTACAAACCCGTGACACTCGAGTAAAAGAAAGGTCTACAAATTAACCGACACCGAGTGAGAAGAAACCTAAGATTATAAAAGTACGGTTTAGAATGATTGCTACAAATATCAACAAGATACACGTCTCTTTTCAATAACCTAACTATAAGTATGTAACAGTCCAAACCCACCGCTAGCAAATGTTATCCGCTTTGGTCTGTTACGTATTGTCGTCAACTTTACAGTTTTAAAGCGTGTCTATTTTCACATCCTTATAAGTAATGTTTCGTTCCCTTCTTTAACTGATATGGGATCTCACAGATAGCTTCGAAATTGAGTGTTTTGCTCCGAATAATTTTTTGATGACTATACTATTTTTTTCGTTTGATATCCATTTATAAAAATTGAAGGACTAAAATATAAATATTAAAAGTTTTAGGACCAAAGTAGAACAAATTTGTGGCGATAAGGACCAAATGGACAATTTAAAAGGTTCGGGATAAAAGAAGGTGTCGATTTTATTATTATTTTTTTCCATAAAGAGTAAGATTAACTTTGTAGCTTAGATGGTTCTTCCTCGGAATTATTCTTGTAATCTCATTCAAGGTAAGAATACATTCTTTTATAATTTTTTTTTACTAATTTATTTATAATTTATTTTCAAATAGAAAATATCAAAAACTAGAGTAGGAATGAATGTACGTCAAGAAAGAGACTTAAGAATGACAATGACGATGACAACGACGAAGTTGATAACGATGACAATGATAATGATGATTAAACAAAAAGTTAAATTAATAAAAATATTTTTAAATTTTAAAAAACATTCCCCTAGTTTTTGTTCATTATTATTATTTATGAAAACATATTTGGTTACGAATATATCTTTAAAATTTTTAAATAATTAAAAAAAATATCATTTTAACTTTTACCACCGTTTCAAAAAATATATTTACCATTAATGCCACATTTTTTAAAATATTATCAACCATCCATTTTAGTAAATAATCTATATGAATTAAACTTTCAAATTTTAGGAATATTTTTTAAACTTAAAAAAGAATTAAAAAGGTATTAATGGAAATTTTTTTAAAACCACATAATATTTTTCTTAATTTAGTCTTTGACAAAAATAATCACAAGAAAGGAAATAATTGTCGGATTAAATTATGTTAATTTAATGTTTGAATTACTTTTAAAAGTGTCATTAATAGTAATGGCAATAATTTTATAATATTCTATTTTTCCCCTTAATTCACCCTTTCCTCTCTAATTATCTTTAAAAGAAATGTAATGAAGACGGATGTCCATTTTTGTAAAAAAAAAAAACAACCCGACTCTCTAAAACCTTATACCTATCTAAGGTTATTAGTATAGGTAAGTTTAGGTCATTTGAAGCGGAAAAATGAAAACATGCACGTGATAAACTCATACATTTTCATAAAAAGACAATCAAGCTTTACACGAATATCCGACACATTATAATGCAAATTGAATGAGGAAATTTTGACTATTTTTCGATGAAATTGTGTTATACATGCTTTTTTTCTTGTTTTTACACTTTTAGTGACGTAAACATGCATATAGTAACGATCCTCGATCACTTAAATACACATTTGCAAAGCTAAATGAACATAAAATAGGTAGAAAAAGAAGGGTTAATTGGATCCAAGAGGTCAAAATTAGGGAGAATTTTTATTATTTTTTATTTAAAAAAAAAAAAGATGATATTTGTCTTCTTTGAAGATTTTGAATGAGAGTATCAAAAAAGTTAAAAAGCAAAACAACCATCACAAGAAATCATCCAGCAATCTTAGTAGAGGAACAATCACCTTAGGCTTCGAATCTTCAAATCTGTAAAACAGGGCAAACCCAGTTTTCAGCTCTATCTTATGATATAGGTCTAGGATAGAGACGTCCACGAGGTAGAACGGGATAGAGAGATTTCTTTGTTTCCGCCCCGCCACTACCTATTTCATTTTATATTTCTGTAAAATTCTCCATTTTTTTTTTTTTTTTTTGCAGTGATCAAGACAAAGATTCTCCGTGAAAAGTTGGGAAGAAATCGAATTATTCACGAATAATATTTTTTCCATTTATTATTCTTTTTTTAAAAAAATAGTTATTTTAAAGTTATCATTTTTAAACATAATTTTATTAAAAAATTATAAAAAAAATTCATAATAAATCAATATATTTCATATACATATATAATTCTACCAACATAATTTCGAAAAGAAATTTAATATTACAAAATAGCTTTTAACCATTAAAAAAATCTACAACATACTTTTAGTTTAAATATTATAATTAAGACTAAAAAATTAACTAATTTTATATATATATGGGTTAAAAATATAATTATATTAAACGGGGCAGGAAATTGGGGAGGAGACATGACCAAATTTATCTAAAAATGTTCTCCACTCCCCCATTTTGTGTCTAAACAGGGAATCCCCTTCCCGTTTGGGGGCGGGTCCCCGCGGAACGGGAACGTAGACATCTCTAGTCCTGCATGACAAATAGGAGTTTGTTTTGATTAGTTCAAACCCATGCCAAATTCCTTGGAACAATCTTAAATTTTTCTAAAGATGAAGCAACTGAGAATAATATCATTATGTTCCTGTATCAAAAGCTCCCATGTGGGTTTGGTTTCAAGAGATTGTAAAACCAGTTTTAAAAGAACTTTCAGGCCATAGGCGGGTGGCCTAGATGATAAGCTGCTCAACTACACTACAATAAGGTGCCAAAAGTTATCTCCAAGGTAAGCAATTCTTATTCTTCTGAAAGGAATGAGCAGTGAAGATGCTAGTTTCTTACACAAGTTTTTTCTTGCAATAATTTAAGTGTATGTTGGAGAAGATTGCTCCTTTCTTGCTATATATGTGATATATTTTGAACTCTTCTGTACATACTCATTTTTTGCTGGTTTTGGAGGTGGAACTTTCTTCCTTTTGAGGCCTCCAAGCTATCCTTTCAGGTATGACTTTCAATTTCGGGTTTCTTTCTTCTTTCAGTGTTGAAATAGAGCCATGAGGATAGAGAATATAAGATTTTTTCAGCTTCTTATAAAGTTTTCTCTCTTTTATGGAGGGAGAGAGCAGGCAGGGGATGCAGGAAGGCAGGAGTTTTCAAGTATTCTTCACTTGTTTGTATTAGGGGAGGATTAAGAAGAGACATAAGGCACAATGTTTTCCGACTTGTTTTTACGTATTTTACCGGGGCATATCAGTTTCATATGGAATAACTGGGGCATTGAGCTGCTCGTATTTGCGAACTTCATGTTCCAAGTGATCTTAACTTACAATGGAAGTCGAAGAAGACACACACCAGGATATAAGCTCAGTTTAACTGTTTGGTTTTCCTACTTACTTGCAGCTAAAATCGCAACTGTTGTTCTAGGTAAGCTCACGACGATCGACATAGGCCATGAACGGCGCAACACGCACACCCAAGTTCAGGCATTATTGGCGCCGTTGATGTTCATGCAAATAGGAAATCCAGATACAATCACAGCCTACTCAATCGAAGACAACCAACTAGGAGTGAGGCAAGTTTTCAGCATGGTGATCCAAGTGACAATTATGTTCTACATTCTCGTAAGGTCATGGACAGATTCCAAAACATCGTTTCTTTACTTGCCAATGTCCTTGGCTGGGATAATCAAGTATGGTGAGACTTCATGGGCTCTAAAATCAGCTCTAAGTGGCAACTTGGGGTTCACAATAGCTGATTTCTTCAAATATCATGAAGTAGCTAATTTGTTTGACAAATTACCACAGAATGAACTTCCAGAGGCAAAATTGATCCTAAGAGCTTATTACAGATTCTGCTGCCTAAAACCTCATCTCGAGAATTGGCTTTACTATCCTCCAACGGATTGTGATCATAAGAAACTATACATTGATGATTGTGAGTATGAAGATGTGTTCAGAATTACAGATTCTGAATTGGGTTTCATGTATGATGCACTCTACACTAAGGCACCTGTTATATATACTCGTAAGGGCTTAATTCTTCGTTTCATAAGCTTGCTAAGCCTAATTGCCACACTATGTGGGTTTTCTGTCTTGTTCAAGGATGCATTTGTGTATAACATTAGTGTTGGGTTCATCCATTATGTGTTGATAGCATCTTTGATCATTGAGATTTATCAGATAATGAGAATACCCTTCACAGATTGGGCTATAGTACAGATGATAAGACACCATGAAACTTTTCCCATCCTTCGGGGTCTCTTACACTCTCTTGCCCCTCAGTCAGCAACATGGAGAAGATGGTCTAATACAATGGGGCAGTTCAATCTCTTAGATTTCTGCTTGCAAACCAAGCATCGAAACTACAGCAGAATCAAACTTCTCCGGACTTGGGGATTGGATATGAAACTCCGAAAGCAAATGAGTTTGGATCGAATTGACGTCCATCCAGAAGTGAAAGAACTTGTGGTCACAGAACTAAGAGAGATAGAGAAGATCAAAGGACAAGAAGAATTTGAACAAAGAGGCCAATGGACAATCGATAGGTACAAAACAAAGCTGAAACAGAACGATGACAGCATATTGATCAAAGCACTTGAAACAACAGTAAACAAGAGACCATTTGATAAGAGCATCTTCATATGGCACATCACAACAAATATTTTCTATCACATCAGACGTTTTCATGATACTAGCATAGGTAATAAAATGGAAGCTATAATGAGTATATCAAATTATATGATGTACCTTTTGGTGACTCGTTCCCACGTGCTATCAACAACAACGGGAGAGATTATCTTTGACCATTCGTGCGTGAAGCTTGGGAAGTTCACAAGAACTGGACATCTAAACAAAGAGGACGCCTGCAATGCTCTTCTGAATTTACAGAAAGAAGGTACCCTTCAAGCCGAGGAGCCTCATGAACCATCAGAAGCAGAGAAGGTAGTTGTAGGGAATTGGCATCTGCTGAAGGATGTGAAAGATCTTGCAGATAGCTTATTGTTTCTGAGCAATGAAAACAGATGGCAGCTAATTGGCAGTATGTGGTTTGAGATGTTGGGATATGCTGCAAGTAAATGTGAAATGGAATATCATTCAGAACACATCAGACAAGGCGGTGAATTGATTACTCATGTTTGGCTTTTGATAGCCCATAATGTTACCAAATACAGTTCATATGAGTATCATGTGGGCGGCCAAGATGAAGAGATTGCAGCTAATTCTCGTTAGTTTTTCCACTTCTTTTTCCCTGAGAAACCAATTTGATTGATTGGAAAAGGAAATTTTGGAGGATAACTCCAAGATCTTATCCTGTTCATGCGTTTATTGATTTGATCTAATGATAAAATGAAGTATCACGACATCAGTAATCTCTCATAATTAGGTATGATTTGTACTCGACAAAATACCTGCATCCGCCGACCGATCTATAAATTCGTATAAAAATTCAAAAGCGAAAGCATCAATCTGAGGAGTAGAATGAAGAACAGATTAAATACATATAAAATACAACGCAAAATTTCATTCTGATACGATCGCGAACCATTATGATAATCGATATCGTGTTCTAAAAATTTACGCAGCTACAACTCCAGATTTTACGAGCCTAAAACTAAGAAATTGCTATACCTCACTCAGAGATAAAAGGCTATGGATACAGAATCCTTACGTTGTGAAAGGAAATGATGAAGGCACGAACCAGATGATTTAGCATAAAGATCGACTCGGAAGATCAAGGTCTTGATGGGATGGCGACGGAATCCCACTCTAAGTTACGAATCACTTCCTGCGTACCATATTAATATAGAATGGTTTCCTGTCACAACATATATCTGAAAGATATGATAATTAAAAAGGTTTAAAGGAATTAAAAATCATTATTTATATCAATAAAATGCACTTTCGATCTCAACACTCAATCTTATGAACTCTATAATTGAACATGGTTGGTGGTACTTGGGAGATTTTTCTACAGCTGCATGTGAGTGAGGATTGATAGAATATTCTGGGAAGACTTGTGTTGGGCTGTAAAGATAGACTTCGCTTTAGAAGCAAAAAGTAAATAATGTGTAATCATGTCACACGAAATGTAGGAGAGCGAAGAATGGGATGCACGGGAATACCAGGGCAAACGAGTGTCGAATCTTAATTTCGAATCCTAGACATGGGTCGTTATGATAGTATATGAGTGAGGATAAAATATGTTGGAATAACTCGTATTGAGTTGTGAAGATAGACTTCACTTTAAAAAGTGAAGAAATGACTCGTGTTGGATTGTAAGGATAGACTTCACTTTAGAAGTGAAGAGTAAGTAATGTATGACCATGTAGCACGATATGTAGAAAAGCAAAGAATAATGGGATGCACGGAAATGCCAGGGCACACAGGTGTCAAATCCCGATTTCGAATCCTGGGTCACATGGGAATCATGGAAACACTAGGGCACACAAGTGTCGAATTCCAATTTCGAATCCTGGGTCACATGGGATGCAAGAGAACGCTAAGGCACACGGGTGCTGAATTTCGATTTCGAATCCTGGGTCACATGGGATGCAGGGGAATGTTAGGGCACACAGGTGCTGAATCCCAATTTCGAATCCTGGGTCATATGGGATGCAGGGAAACGCTAGGGCACACGGGTGCCGAATCTCGATTTCGAATCCTCGATCACATGAGATGCGAATGCTAGGGTACACCAGTGTTAAATCCCGATTTTGAATGTTAGACATGAATTGTTGCATTACTTATGAGTGTGGACATGAGTCGTTACATTTGAATTCATATGACCGAATTATGAACGTGTTCGGATAAAGTTTTGAAAAATGAAAGTGTGTTTATAATTTAGTAAAAAGGTAATAGTAAAAATGAAGGGTTAAAATAAAATTGGTGGAAGAGGTAGTTACTATTGAGTAGGGTCTTGGTGAAGGCTATGGGGGTTGGTGCCCGTATGGCTGCTGGTGAAGGCAGCTGCTGAGTCAGTTTCACAGAAATAAACGCCAACATTTTTTTAAATACTTTTTCTTTCTCTTCAAACGGTTAATTAGATTAACTTAATTAAAAATTAAAGATAATACTTTATTTTTAAAAGAGTTTCAAAATTACCATTTTAATTTTTAAAATTTTATTAATACCAATTTTTTTAATTAAAACTTCAAAAATATTACCCAACTATTATATTTCAAAAATACTAATAAATTTTTTAAATTTAATGGATACTTAAAAAGAGGAGGGTATTAGAAATTTTTTAAAATTTAAAGATATTTTTTTAATAAATATTAATTATTTATATCTTACCCTTTTTTATAAAAAAATATTAATAAAACTTTTAAAATTTAAGAATATTTTTATTACTTTAACCTTAATTCTATTTATTAAATTTTAAATACTAAACTTATAATTTAATATATTTATTTATTTTTATAAACTTTTGAATAATTCTTATTATTAATGTTAGTAGTTGTTTCAAAGTTCATACATAGATGAACAAAATATTTAAATTTTCATAGGTTTATTGTATTAATAATTTTTAGGGGTATACACGAATTGAGTTGTACAAATCTTTTGGATCAACCCTTTAATTTCGGGTTGAGCTGAGTTGTCGGGTTATTTTTATTATTATTTAAAAAAAATCATATATGTTATATTAGGTGAGATCTCACCTTAGTTGTAGAGGAGAACATAACATTTCTTATAAAGGTATGAAAATCTCTCCCTAGTAGATGCGTTGTCAAACCGTGAGGTTGACGACAATTCGTAATGGACTAAAACGGACAATATCTGCTAGTGGTGGGTTTAAACTGTTACAAACGGTATCAGAGTCAGTCACCGAGCTACCAAGGACACTGAATTCCCAAGAGGGATGGATTGAGAGGGATTAAAATTGTGAGGCTGACGACTGATACGTAATGGGCTAAAGGGGATAATTAAAATTTCATAAAGCTTCAAGGAAAATTTTAACCAAAACTAACCCTTATAGTATGGGTTGGGTGGTACGGGTTGGTCAGACTTCCGGGTCATATGAACAACGTAAAAAAAAAAGAAGGGGTAGGATGGTAATTATTGAAGTAAAGAAGGGAGAGAAAAGGAAAAGTGAGGTAAAAAGGACGGAGCAGATCTAGCTAAATTGGTGTTTCTTGGAAAAAGTTCAACGGTTTAAAATGGATTAAAAAACATTTAATCCCAATCCAAACATACTTTTTGAGAATAACAATAAATATAATTAAAAATATATATATATTTTTTGGTATTTTAAATTTTAAATAACCTAATTTTAATCCATAAATATATATTATCTAAAATTAAAATTATTGTTAATTAAAAATGGGTAAAAAATTATCCATTATCTTCTACTAAATCAACCAATGTGGACTCACTCCTAATAATCCTCCTCCTCTTAATCGAGGCTTTGACTCCTTTCTCTAAAGCCTCGAACACAGCACACCATTTGTTCAACACTTTAATCACTTTTGACTACACTTTCGAAACTCACAATTCTTTGTTCGATATTTAAGAATTCTATTAACATGACTAAGTTTAGGACATGATTCTGATACCATGTTAGGAATCACGACTCTCCATAATGGTATGATATTGTCCACTTTAAGCATAAGTTCTCAAGTTGATTGAATAGGTGAGGGCAATTATATAGACAGAGTTCGCAACCCAGTTGGATTATTTTTTAAAAAATTATTATTATTTCTAATAAAGTTTAAATATCAAACGTGTCTAGATACATCACTAACATCAATTACACTATTAAACATTTTACATCTTTTTAAAAGTAGGGTACCATCGGATTATAACTCTATATTTATGTTGGTCGAGTTGATCCGACAAAAAAAAAAATGTTAACCCACGAACAGAATCGAAATTTTAATTTTTTTTAAAAAATTAACCTAATTCAAACTGAAAAAAATCTAACCATAGTCTCGGGATGGATTATCGGGTCTAAATTTAAAACTTTATTTAAAAAATAAAATTATTTCCACCCTTCTTCTTCTTCTTCTTCTTCCTCTAAGCATTCATTGCAAATCTCTTTACTTTTTCCTTCTTTTTGACAGGACCAGAGAGAAAACCCCATTTACAAGAAACTAGAGAGAGAAAAGGCCAAGAACAACCAAGAAATCTAGAGAGAGAATTTAGAGAGAGAATCTAGAGAGAGAGAAAGACATTGGATTTTGTTTAAAAAAAAAAAAACCCAATGTTTGTGTTCTCCCCCAAATTTACATTCTATCTTTGAGTGTTTTTCAATTTTTTTTTTTTTTTTTTTTTAATGTCTCATCTCCTCCTCTTGCGGCGGCGGAGCTGGCGGTGGCGGTGGCGTTGGTGGAATCGCCTCCTTTAAACGGCAGAACCCGGCGGGATCTACGGCGGAACATGAACAAAAGTTCAGCAGCCAGAAATGAGCTTCTGGGTTTGGTCAAAGCTGGATAATCACTCTTCTGGCTTATCTCCTCCGTGACTCCTCCGGCGTTTGATCTTTGCACCGCCGTGGCGTGGTGGCGGTTGTGGTGGTGATATTGGCGGACTGGCTCAATCTCTTGTAATTGTTTTTATTTTTATTTTATTTTATTTTTAATTTTGCTTTCTCCATTTTTCATTTTCTATTTTCCGTTCATTTCAGGTAACATTTTGTTCTCTTTGTGATTTTTTTTTTTTTTAATTTAACGAAATGGGTTAATATTATTTTACCTTCATTTTTAATTTCTCCACAAAATTACCATTTTTTTAAATAATTACTTTATCTATTATTGTTATCTTCCCCTCTTCCCGAGCAAAACGCTTGAATTTTGCACGGCGGCGGCGGCGGCGGACAGGCGATGGAGACGACGGCGACTGCGGCAGCGCTGGAGGTTTAAACGGCGGACTGTTGTATTACCAATTTAATTTTTTTTTTTAAAAAATTGTTTTTATTTTTATTTTTTAAAATCTTTTAATTTTGATTTATAATTTTAATATTTTGGTCACTGTTCTGTCGCTCTGTCTTTGCAATTAATGTAAGCTCTTGGGAACGGTGGCTCTACAGTATGTCAGTAGAAAAAACCCTCTTATTTATTTATTTATTTATTTATTTTATAATTTTATAATAATAATTATTATTATTTTGAGAAATAAAAAATTAGAAATTTGGAAACAACGAAGAGGACGATTACTTGTGGCCCTATCACATCTTTTTATTGCTATTATTTGTTTATTTATTTATTTATTTTTGTCATTTTTTATAATTTTTTTTGAGTTTAATTATCGAAATTGATGCTAATATAATCTATGTTCATTATTGAAATTGATGCAAATCATGGTATTAATTAATGGAGGATTGAGTTTAGATATTTTTTATTTTTTATAAAAATAAAATGTTAAT